ATATACTCCCTCCGTCCCAAAATAATGGTCCCTTTTGGGGAATCCAACTTTTTTTGGTAGTACAATTATTGTACTTTTAAAAAGTTGGTTTTCCAAAATTACCCTTTGATAGTACACTTTTTTGAGAATATCAATGTCATAATTGTACTTTTTATATTATTTATGAATTTAAAAGAAGGGCAAAATGGGAAATTTATATTATTTTGTACTTGATTTTTGAAGAGGGACTAATATTTTGGGACAATGAAAAATGGAATAAGGGACTAATATTATGGGACGGAGGGAGTACTATACATCTATGATTAAAATTATAGTTTATTTAACTACATGAATACGTTGGTAATTGAGATTATACTATAATTGTACTTACTACTTCTCCATACTTACTACTATCCCAGTTTTGGCATCAAAATTTGAATAGTAAAAATGATTCGTTGGTTAATTAATCATTATTCACTTATTAACATCTGATTACCCCACAAAAAAAATAAATAAATAAAATGGAACGAAAAGAGTACTAGCCAAGTTCAAGCTTCAGTTATGACAGTATGAGATGGACCTTTAATGTTACAGTAACTTTGTCCCTCTTTAACCCCCAATGTAATGGACTGATCTTTGCCATGAGCGTCATTTAAGTCAAATTACATCCAAACAAATTACTCAAGTTTGGTTTGAAGTAACTAACAGTTCTTGATAATCGTTGCAATACTTTTCTATTTATTGTTTTTGTTTTGTGTGTGTTTAGGAAGCTTGGAACGGATTCAACTCAGAGAAGTAGTAGATGACCATTGCAGCACATCATGTAATTTATACTTGTAGCTAGTAAATATCTCTACGTCTGTCAAATATTTTTAGTTCTTTCGTTAGGTCCCAAAGGTAAGCTCAAGCTTTGAGATTGCCAGGGAAGAAATGTTGGTGAAAGAAGAAGGTTTTTCTCTTTCGCTTCATCGTTGCAGACCCTTTAACAGATTAAAATAGAGGTCTGTTCTCTTTCATGCTATGATGATTTGCCAAGAAGACAATGCGGTCGACAGTAATGAAGGGTTGGAATTGAAATCCCATTTCTGTTTATCATTTTTATTGCATTCCTGTTTCCAGTGTCCTTGAATTCAAGTACATGTACAATATAACACATCTGGTTTGGTGATTAATGGATAGAATTAAAATAGATAGAGCTATTGATTTATTTTAGCTGAAGACATGTTGCCTATGACCTAAACGTTAATGTTCACTTTAGTTTGAAATGTTCATTACAGTACATGTGCTCCGTTACTAATGTGTTGACAACTGCTCTATTGATTATAGGGGTGCAACTCGGGTGGGCTCAACCCGAGTAACCCGAGCCCAGCCCGAGTTTTTTTAGGGCTTGGGCAACTACATCTTGTAATCTGGACGGGCTTGGGCAGATTTTTGATGCCCGAATTGCAATTTGGGCCGGGCTTGGGCAAAACCAATGGCCAACCCGAGCAACCCGAGCCCGAATTGAATTTAATATATTATATAAATTATATAATATATATATAAATTAAGTAAAAGAGTTAGTCTTATTTTTTATTTTTTTTTTGGTTAGTCTTCTAGTAAAAGAGTTAGTCTTAATTTTTATTTTTTATTTATTTTTGGTTAGTCTTCTACCATTAGATTAGCATCTTTTATGTCTACCCTTAGATCTACCTACAGGTTTCTGAACTCGGGCAATTCGGGCAATTCGGGCAACCCGAGTTCAAAATACAAAGCTTGGGTCGGGGGTTTAGAAGCAGCCTTAGTCTTCCTAAACTTGACCTTAGTCTGAATTCTGGTGTAACAAAAAGCAAACCAAAAACAAAAACATAACAAGACTCACAAACACATTACAGTATACAAACTTATTAAGCTTCACAAACATGCCGACCACAACCTTTTGCAACACCTAGACATAAACGAGTCCACATACCCGTCAGTGTACAGCTGAGTTTTACACTGGAGACATTGATAATAGCCATCAAGCCAGTAAACTAAAAAATAACCTCTGTTCTTTAACTTCATTTTTATCCAAACATTATTATTATTATTTTTTAAGTTATAAAACAGTTATATTAAAAATTATCTGAACAATCTATATAACAATGGAAGGCTTGGTTTGAATTCAATGGTTCAAAATGTATATGTGTCAACATATGGACTGTTAGATGGATTAAATCCAATGGCTAAAAATATCTTACTCTCATTTGTCTTATTTGAACATTTCAATGGTTGAGATCAATTAACATCAAGATCTGATGGTTCAAAATGTAAGTTCCAAAATTTCTCTCACACCTACTCCTCTCATCTCAAAATCTGTCTCTCTTCCAAATTTTACAATTTGAGCACAGGCCCTGTCTCTCTCTGTCTCTCTCTCTCTCTCTCTCTCTCCATTGGAGCCTATTCTTGTGCTCTTCTTCAATTCCTATCGGAGCCCAACTCTTGCCGGAGACCCAACCCCGAACCCCCTATTACTCTCTTCGTCTTCTCTCTTCCTCCCTCTCTCTCTCCATCATCCCAATCTTCATCAATAGTGGCAACGACGACTGAATGGAGCCACTGCAAATGACGAATCTAAAGGAAGAATCTGGTATATTTTCAACAAGAGAGTAAACCAAAAGAATCTGGTATACTGTTCAGGTGAAGAATCTTCTTCTATATTTCCAGCAAGTATATTTTTTTTGGGTATTTCTATCTTTAAACCAAGTATATTTTTCTAAGTTTCTTCTGAATTTGGTAGTATTTTTTTGAGGTGTCTAATTCTCTTTCTTGAGTATTAATTTTTTTTGGTTGAAGCAAGTATATTTCCAGTAGGTTTGTTACTCTAATTCTTTTTCCAGCAGGTTTGTTTCCATTAGGCATTGTGTTTGATTAATTATGTAATCAATTTTATTGATGAAGGCACAATCTCAAATTTATTTTTGTTGATTTTTGTCTTAAAGAAATTTCTGGAAATTCAACAGCAATGTAATAATGAATATTCAATAGTTTGATTATTTAGAGTTCAAGTTTGGAACTTTTGAAGTGAGATTGGTGGCAATGGCAATATGGTATGTTTGAGAATATTCTAGGTAAAATGAGGAAATAGGGTCATGGACTTGTGGTGGTGCACTTAATTTGATTAGTTTTTGTGTGAAATTTTCATGGGTGATTGATTGAGCTGGGAGCACTGATCAAATAAAGGCTTTGAAGCTAGAGTGTTGCTGTTAGATCAGTAGGAGAATCTGAATCATTTTTAAACAACAATGATGCAAATCTTTTTTCATCGACAAGAAGAAAATTTAAGGAAGCATTACTAATAAATTTTGGTAATGATTTAGAGGATTTAAAAATTAATACAATAATTTTAATTTATCTATACTATATGTTGTAGTAAAGGAATATTTGAAACAAAACACTTAAACTTATATGTAAAATTTTATTTACGAGAGAAAAAATATAAAAAAATTAAATATAATTATCACATTTTTAATAAATAATATATTATTTTATTCCATGCTAGTACCCCTTTAATTGGTAAGAACATCTCTCTAAAAGGTTTAATTTAATGTTTTATATTTTTAGAGTTTGAAATGGTGATTTCTAGATTTATGGTGATTTAGTTTTAGTTATGGAGTTTCATACTTGTATTTAGGTCTCATTTTTTTAATAGTTTTTGAATTTTTAATTAAAATATAAAATAAAAAAAAAAGGCTAGTATGATTGGGAATAATCTTTTAATTATTTTTATTTTATAAAAACGTGAAATAAAACAATTTATAAAATCAAAAAATAGGTAAATTGAAGGTCAATCGATTGGAGGTGAATGGATGGACGCGGCAGACAGTGAAATGGGATGCATCAAGTGGGTCTTCGCAAAATGGGGTTGTTGAGAAATCATAAAGATTGGACTTTACCATTTTTTTATTTTCAAAAAATTCT